TCATCTCCCTACTAGGTGACTTCTTCAGCGCATACTTCAATTTGAAGTGAGCTTTTAGATTTCTCCACTAGTTTATTAATCATCTCTCCCGGTGACCTTGGACGTGACTGGTTGTTTTTGTGCGTTTTCACACCTTCTAGGTTAATTGTATTGGAACTGATCGTTTCTTTCACTTGAACTTCGACCCTTTGTGTGTGAGGTTTCTTTTTTATCGGTTGATAAATTTTGTTAATCTCGATGTGTCTATTGATTGATGATTCACTGGAATGCCAAGCTTCTAAAAATTCTCTAGCATTTTTGTTGTTTCCTCTGTCTAATATTTGAACGCTGTTACAGTCGAATTGATGTCCGTCGTTGTCTGTATGTAGTGATATGAGGGATTGAATATCATGTCTTTTGACGGTTAGCTTATGTTCGTGGATACGAAGACGAAGGGGACGTCCACTTTGGCCAATGTAGTGTTTTTCGCAGTTGTTACAATTTATCTTGTAGATGATGTTGGTTTTATCTCCTTTGGCTGTTGAGTCTTTTGGTTGACATAGAACTGAATGAATTAATTTTGTTGGTTTGTGTGCGACGTCAATTCCTAGAAGTTTGATGAGTCTTGCAGTGATTTCTGATATATCCTTTAAATATGGCAGGGCGACTTTCTTTGTGCTTTCCTTGGGGGCTTTTGGTTTGATAGGTTGGCTTGTGGGTATATGTCTTTTGATGAAATTTCGTGGATATTCATTTTTTGGGAGACGTCTATGAGATATCTCTCTTCAATTTTCCTTAAGGTGGGAGTGCTGCAATGAGTCCTGGCTGGCCCTCTTGAATAGTGTTTGTATGCAATTCCTTTTGTGTGTTATTGGGTTGTTGCTGTTGTAATTCAGTATTTGATCTGTGTGAGTTGATTTTCCATAAACTTGGGTTTCTAATTCCCCTGTGGTTGTTCGTTTGACTAAGACTTCCAAAAGTGGGACTTTGTTCCCGGATTCCTCTTCTCTTGTGAATTTTATGTCGTTGAAGACGTTGTATATTAAGTTGTGAGTTTTATCTAACTCGTTTCTTTTGATTATTACAAATGTGTCATCCACGTAACGTATCCAAATCTCGGATTTAATCTTTGGTAGGATTATGTTTTCCAACCTTTGCATCACTGCTTCTGCAACCAAACCCGATATTGGCGATCCCATGGGTGTTCCTTTGTCTTGTGAAAACGCACAAAGACAACCAATCACTTCCAAGGTCACTGGAAGAGATGATTATTAAACTCGTGGAGAAATCTAAAAGCTCACTTCAAATTGAAGTATGCACTGAAGAAGTCACCTAGTAGGGGGATGAAAGCTTCGTAAATTAACTTTCTAGCTCAGAGAACACAACCACATCAAAAAAAAGACAACTGATTATTTAATTTTGGAAAGAATAAGGTGAATAAACGACAAAACTATAGGAATATATATAGAGACATAAATCACTACAAAACATCATGTAGACCAAGTGGTGCTCGAGAGGAACAAAAAGGACAGAATCAGGCAGGCTTTAGACCAGGGAGAGGGTGTATTGATCATCCTTCCTTCCTTCACCCTTCGACAGATTCTGGAACATAGGCATACTTGACGGCGTCCAACAATCGTCATATTTCTTGACCTGAAATCGGTATTCGATTCTGTTGACGGATTAGTACTATGGCGATGTTTGACTGTGAAGGGAATGCCGAGAAAATACATTGAACTGATTAAGACACTGACTCTACTCGAGCTCATGCAGTCAGCCAAATAAGAGCCTACGGAGGGAGAGTTGTCATATGAAGTGGTGTCCGTCGGGGATGCCCATTATGCCCATTTCTATTCAATCTCATCATAGATGTACTAATGGACTTAACCC